ATTCTAAAAGTACAATGTCCCATTCTGCATATGGGTCCAAACAGCTCTTCTAACAACCCCTTACAATGTGCCCAACCCAAAACTAACCTGTCATGGTCAAAGACAAGAGTAAGGGCACAGAGCTTTCTGTATGTGGGTCAAAGGGCTGGAAGCCGGGCATCACGTCAGAATGTATGGGGTCTGACCCAGTTTTTGCTTATGGCTTTGGGAAATAATATCTTTGCATTTGCATATAATTTTTAACTTTTCAAGAAGGTTTTTCATCCATTATCTCATTTGATCCTCATAACAACAACACTGAAGAGGAGGCAGAACTGGGATCTTTACTCCTCCTCTAGTTCACAGATGAGAAAACTGAGGCATAAAGGTTAAGAAATGTTTCAAAGAACATAGGCCCTGTGGCTAGCTACTTAATGATTAAGCTGGTACTGAAATTCTACTTTCCTAACCCTTAGATGAGTAGTACTATAAATCTGAAGGCTTGAGTTCTAGTCCTGGCACTTCTGTGTAAGCCTAGACAAGTCACTTCCTCTCTCAGAGCCTCAGTTTCCTCATATGCAAAAAGCAAGAACTGGATTATATAATTTCCAGGATCTCTTGCAGTACTTATACTATGATCTGTATGGAAATGAGTGGCCCCAATTTCCAAATTCCCTAGAGTCCCAGAATTAGGAAGCAGCGTGTAGAAAAGTACTGAATTTGGAGTCAGAGGACACGAGTTCCAATCCTGTAATCTTAGGCATAACAATTAGCCTCTCTGGGCTTGTTTTGTCATCTATAAAGTGAGGATTGCACTAGATGGCCTCTGAGGTACCTCCTAGCTCTAGCTCTATGAGGCTATGATCCTGTCTCTTGGTCTTGAAGAGGCACTTGAGTTAACATAAGGGACAGGACATACGTAGAAGGTTATAAAATTCAGCCCTTTCACAATGACAGCTTTCTATTCCCCTAAACCTGCCCAGCCTCAACCTGTCCTTTCTTAGACCAGAACTGACATCAATGACTTCAGGCCAGTATTCCCTGGATCTCAGAGCCAATGCCCTTTTGTGGCTTGATCCAAGGAAAAGGAAATTGGAGAAATTGAATTCAATTCAATTCAAAGAAGGTAGGTCAAGGTGAGAATCTAGCACATTTTCAGTAAGCTGGAAGCCTTGAGAACTCTAAACAAGCAAACCATCTGTCAGGTTATGGAGACTTCTGCCATTCCTGATACAAAACAGAACACCACACAGTAATACTCAAAGCAACAGCCTTGATAATGTAGCCCTTCTGCAGCTCAGTTTCTTAGCAAATGATGGGGGGCCATCTCCAGTCATCCTGATCTATATCTTGACACTGGACCCAGATGGCTCTGGAGGAGAAAATGAGACTGGGGACTTTGCACAGCCCTCCCTTGATTAAATCCAATTCACTTGCAACTCATGGCATCACCTTCCTTATGCCATGGTCCTCTTAGAGAATGAAGGACAAACAACAATAGCAAATGATGCAGCCTTCATTTTATAGATGAGGAAGTAGGGAAATACAGATGTCCGATTCACCCAACCTGCAAGATAAAGTAGACAGGTATCCTCTGCAGATGCTGAACCAGAAGAAACATTAGACTTAGGATCAGAAAACCTGCATTTAATTCCCAGATCTACTATTTACTATCCATCTGAGTTTAAGCAAGTCATCTCCCCTCTTTATACCTCAGTTTCTGCATCTGTTAAAATAAAGGAGTAGAACTAGATGATTTCTAAGGCCTCTTCCCTTTACAATCCTTAGACTATATTTAGAGGAAACTAGGAGGCACAGTGGATGAAAGCTGGACCTGGAGTCAGGAAAACCTGGGTTCAAATACTGATTAGTATTTACCGGTTGGGTGACCCTGGGCAAGTCACTTAAACTCTGTCTTCCTCAGTTTCCTCACCAGAAAAATGATAATTATAGTACCTACTTCCCAGGGTTGTAGTGGGAAAAAATGAGTGTCCCAGGAATCTGTCCTTGGCTCTGTGCTATTTAAAATTTTTATCAGTGACTTGGGTAAAGGCATAGACAGAAAGCTTATAAAGTGAGCAAATGACAAGAAGTTTAAAGAAAGAACTAAAAAACAAATGCTTCTTTATTGGGGAATGGCTAAACAAATTGTAGGGGTTTTTTATGTAACATGATTATCGCCATTATTATTGTGCCATAAGAAATGATGATCATGAAGAGTTTAGAGAAACTTGGGAAGACTTGTATGAACTGATACAGATTGAAGTAAGCAGAACCAAGAGAACAATTTCAAAATTAACGTAAAGGAAAACAACACTGGAAAAGACCAGTTAATCAATCAATAGGCATCAGAATTCAGATCACTACAAGGACCAGTTGTGACTTCAGAGAACTGACAATAAAGCATGACTCATGTTTCCAGAGAGAGAAGTGGTAGACTACGGAGGCAGAATGAAGTGTGTGTTGTCCAAGAGGACCAACATGTTGATTTGTTTTGCTACACTTCTTTGTTATAAAGGAGAATTTCCACGGTGGGGAGAAGAGAGGGGTCATTGGGAAGTGACAGTAATTTTTTAAGGGAAAAAAAAGCATCAATAAAACATTTGTATTTTAAGAAAGACAGAGACAGAAACAGAGAGCAGGCTAACAAGTTGAATATAGTTTGGATCTACAAAGATCTCAACTAACTAGAATGTTGGGCTGAAGCAAATTAAGATAAAATTTAAAAGGAATAAATATAAAGTCTTATACTTTACATTTGGCGATTTGACAAATAGAAATCAGTTGCTCTGAAGATCTGGGAGTTCTAATAGACCACAAGCTCCATAGGAATCACTTGCTCAATAGGGCAGCCAAAAAAACCCAAAAAACCAAAACCTGCATGTGGCCTTTAGTCTTCACTGAGATGCATAGTACTCAAGATGATTCAAGGTGATAATACTACTGGAGTCATTCCTGGTCAGAACTTATCTTGAGAACTGTGTCTGCTTCTGGGTGCCACATTGATAAACTGGAGATCATCCAGAAAAGGGTGAGGTGACTAGGATGATGAAGGATCTTGAGATCATGCCATATGCTCTGTTAAAAGAACTGAAGTTGTATAGTGTGGAGAAGAGAAGATTAAGAGAAAATATTACATCTGTCTTCAAGGCACTTACATGGCATACTAGATAGAGTGATGGACTTGGACTTGGTTTTAGGAACACCCAATTTCACATCCTGCCACAGCTGCCTCCATTGTGTGACCCTAGACAAGTCACTTAATCTCTCAGCCTCAGTTTCCTCATCAGCAAAATAGGGATAAAAACACTATCTCAGGTTTGTTGTGAAAATCAAATGAAATAACATACATTACAGTGCTTTGTAGTCCTTAAAGTGCTATATCAATGTTAGCTATTCTTATGATTTGTTGGAGAATGAAATGGCAAACCAGTATCTTTGCCAAGAAAACCCCAAATTGGCTCATAAAGAGTCAGACCCGACAGAAATGACTGAACAACAACAACAGCAATTACTATTATTAGTGTGGGAAGGTGATTATATTTGTTCTGCTTGGTGTCAAAGGGTAGAGCAAGGAAGGACAGGTGAAACTTTCAGAAGAGAATATTTAGGTTTAATATAAGGACAAGGATAATTCCTAATCATTAGAGCTATCCAAAAGCTGACCTGGAGCTCCTCAAGTGGTAGCGGACTTTTCTTCTCTAAAGGACTTTGAGTAATTTATTGAATACGTTGTCAACAAAATTCTTATTTGGGTCCATTTATCGTTCCAGGTTCTTTCCAACTTCTGAGCTACTGTGATTCTAGGGACAGTACCCAGAGTCGCCTGGCTCTGCTTCCTTCTACTCCCGATTACTATCCTGTTAGGGATCTATAAGGATGTAGAGGGCCACAGGCTGTTCAAGAGGTCTCACTGATGGGTGAAGGCCCCTCTCGGGTGCTGATCTTTGAGCAAAGGTCACCCGGTTCGGTGCTCCATTGTATGGATCTTTAACAATCTTTAACTCCCCTAGTTATTGTATGGTCATTAGCCGTCTATTCTGGGATTGGGGTCAGATAAGTGCACAGGACGTGCATGCACTGTCCTTGAGCACAGCATGGGCTATACGTCATTGTAACTTGAGAAAGAGCTCCTGTTATTTTACTATATAAGTAAGTGCTTTGCTAAAAATAAACAGAGTTGCTTCCATCTTCTCTCCCGCCTCATCAATGCGCATTCGAGATAGAAGGTTAAGCTGGTCTTATCCCTTCAAAGTTAGTATAGGATCCTGGTTCTTGTGGTGAGCTGAATTAGTTGTGCACACTACCCAGCTCTCAACAACCTGACTAGCTTTGCAGACCTCCAACCTAGCAAGAAATCAGGGGCGCAGCCCTATAGGAAATGGAGAGAGTCATCGCCCAAGCTGCAAAGGACAAACAACAGGTCTGAAAGAAAAAGCTATGGGTGACTTGGAGCTCAGAAGCAGGCTGCAAAAACAATAGGGTAGGGGTTTGGAGAGAAGAAACTAATTTTCTTCCTCAATTTCAATCCTTCACAGCTGCCGGCTGTGAAAGCCTGTCCACTGCCTACTGTCCACGTGGGCGCCTGTGCAGGCTAGGGAACAAAGAGACCAGCTCATAAGACCTCTCCCTACGAACAAACAGGGTTCAGAAAGTGAAGCAGGCCACAAGAAAGGATGCTGGCCGACTAGACCATTGGTCGGTCTTGCAATCATCCCGGAAGATCGGGTGGGCCTATGGAAGGAGGAAGGATTGGCCAGAGTTTGGGTCGGGAGCTCCTCTCGATTCTCCGGAATGCAGGGCGATTGAGGGACTTGGGGAGAGGGGCGGCGCTGGGTGGAGGGAAGGGAAGGTGGGTCAAGCTCACAGCCCTGGGCAGAGGCGAGGGAGTCCCAGGCCAGACTCGCTTCTCTCGGGTGCAGAGGGTTCCTACGCTAGACATCTAGGGCCCTTGCTTGTCCATCCCTACCCCTGGCGCTCCGCGTTCTTCTGGGCGGCCAGGGCCTCCCTTTCCCACTCACCAGTGTTGTAGCGGAGCAGAATAGCGCTAGGCACTCCTCCGTGGGGCAGGGACAGGAGCAGCTGCCTCGTGCCCAAGGTGCGGCTAGTGCCCTGGACGCGACCGCGGCCCAGGAGGCTCCGCAGCGCGCAGCGTGGGAAGAAGCCCATGTTCCCCCTTGCCCTGAGCCCCGGGCGGCCGGGCTGCTCGCCCTCAGCCCGGCCCCGACCCCAAGTAATGGAGGAAGGGACGGACAAGGACCGGGGCGGGCCAGGTCCTGCACTAACCTCCCGCCCCCATCCCAAAGGGGTGGGAGGTGGGGCGGGGAGTGGATGGGGTATGGGTGGGAACACGACTCGAGTTTCAAGTTTCAGACCCACCCCTTTCAAAAAGCAGTTTTTTCCTTTCCTTCCCTCAGGCTGGCTGTGTGCCCATCCACGGAAGTACCTCTCTTTCCCCAATCTCCAGCTCCTCCGCTCTGTGACTCTGGTTTAGGATTGGGTCTGATTATCCAGCTCAACCCCTTCCACTCTCTTTTGTATTATCCAGGATAGGGCATGTTATGGGGTGGAGAGGAGTCGGGGGGAACCAACTCTCCAGTCACCTGGGCACCTGAGAGAGAAAGAGTAGCGTATAACTAAAGTAGTTTAAAAGCCCTTTCTATCTCCCCATCAAACAGCTGGTCTTTGAGCAGGTATAGAAGCAAGGCTTTGGCACCCTCTCTTTATTAACAATAATTTATAAGGTAGGTTATGCAAATATTATCCATAAATAACAGACAAGGACACTGAGGCTCAGAAAGGTGAAATCGTCTTGAATACAGCAGGAGGCTCTCTCCCCCTTCCGCCCCCCTTCCCTGCGCCACAACATCCAAAAAGATCTGTACCTAAGAGACAGGCAGAGGTCTCTTAACGCTGGAAGGTTAATAAAAGTTTTCTCTGTCAAAAGAGGATTTGTGTGTAATATTCGATTTTTGTTGTTTTGGGGAAGATGGAGAGAGAAGGATGGGTGTCCATGTTTTCTATTTTTCCCACGCCTAAGTATCTAGCAGGGGCTGGGCTAATTGGACTGGGATTAGACACTTCCCTCTCAGCCTCAGAAGAGAGGACCAAGAACTGACTTGTCCTAAACCTCTGTTAGTGGGTTGTCATTAGTCCACCCTCTTCTTTCACAGGAAATTGCCAAGTAACTAATATCTGCCTGAGGGGCTGTTTACATTCCACCAACTACAGGAAGACAGATGAGCTTTAGCTCTGAAGCAAAGGAAAGAATTAGGTCAGTCTCCAGACCTTGGGAGAGTTCTAGCCATTTCTGCCTGACTTGTGTGCACAACCTCATGCTTCCCCTCACCATTTCCCTGGATCTTCCCTATGCTTCATCTGGACTAGATGACAACAGAAGAGGAGGCATTCTGAGTCTATCTACTCTGGTGTTCTGATCTCTATTTTGGAATCCTAGACTTCCTACTGAAAGGGACTATAGAAACATCTTGTCCAGGAGTAGGGAATCTGCAGTCTCGAGGCCACACGTGGCCTTCTAGGTCCTTGGATGTGGCCTTTTGACTGAGTCCAAGTTTTACAGAACAAATCCTCTTATTACAGGGATTTGTTCCATGAAGTTTGGATTCAGTCAAAGGGCTGCACTTGAGGACCTAGAGGGCCACATGTAGCCTCAAGGCTGCAGGTTCCCCACCCCTGATCTAGCCCAATCTTCTAACTAGTGCAGAAATCCTTTCTACAGCACTTTTGGCAGGTGGCCATTCAGTCTCTGTTTGAATGCTTATCACGTTATAAGTAAGTTCATTTCATTGTTGGATGGGCTGGTAAGAAGTTCTTCTTTATAAGAAGCTGAACTTTGCCTCTCCACCCCAATTCTGCTCACTGGGACCAGAAAAATAACACCTCAGTCTGTCCATGCAAGGACTACTTCAGTCAGTCAACCAATAAGCATTTATTAATCACCTACAATGTTTGAGGCACTGTGCCTCACTATACAATTTTCTATACAAAAAGAGGCAAAGGACAGTCCCTATCTTCAAGGAACTCACAATCCAATCGGGATAGAGGGAGTAGAAGAAGGCTTTGAGTTTAAAAAAAAAAACAGAATTGTAAGGGTGATTCGGTGGGCTTTGGGATTGTAAAGAAGGCCAGAGACTGAATGGAGTTGAGGGTGTAGAGTGGGAGGAGTGAGAAGTTGAAAGAAGATAAGGATTAGAGCTGAAGGAGGCTTTAAGCTAAGGGTGAAACATATGAGCTAATGAAAAGGAGAAAGCCTTGAGAAGAAGGACCTGAAGAGTAAAAGGAGGAGCAAAAGAAGGACTTGAACTCAAGAGCTGAAGAGGAGGAGGTAATCAGTAAAACAAGGTAAGCAGATAATAAGACAATTAGAGGTTACCAAGACAAGGGAAAGGAAGTTGGTTGTGGCTGTCCAAGGTACTACCAAGGTGAGGAGAGTGACAAGTTTAATATTGAAGACCCCATCAAGCACTTTGCCAAGAGTGGAATGGCTTGCTCAGAAGATAGTGGGTTCTCCATCATTAGAGGTCTTCAAGTAAAGGCTAGATAGGTTTAAATCTGCCTCTTCTTGTTGAAATCTGTCTCCTCTTTCTAATTCTTGGGCATTTTATGGAGGAGATCCATTCATATATGGCTTCCAACTAAAATACTATGATACTGTGAACATTTCAAGTATTAAAGACAGCAAACATGGGTCTCTCTTCTCAAGGCTAAACATATTGAATTCCAAAACCTGATCCTCATAGAACATGTTTCACCATCCTGATTGTCCTCCCTTGGACATGCTTCAGCTTGTAAATCAATTTCCTTCTAAACACAATATCCCAGGTGTGGTCTTAGGCCCAGAGTAAATCTTCTTTAGTTTTAGACGCTGGAATTCTGTCAATGCCTTCTGCAAATGATAAGAATTTGGAATGACCCAGAGGGCAATGGGAAGATGCACAAGATGGTGTAAGGCTACCATATTTCATCAAAGATACTGTATGCATAAAAGATGACCTTAGAGACAGCATCAAGGACATGCATGTCTAGAAAAGATGAACTAGTTATTTAAGGAGAGAGAGGGATAACAGATGGACAGCCCAGGTGCAGCACTGTTACCCATGAACTATTAAAAGAAAGAACCAGAGGAAGAATTCCATTGTGTTAAATAGATCCTCTATGATGAGGGCTCTAAACCTTTTTGTGTCCTGGACCCCTTTGGCAGGCAGGTGAAGCCCACGGACCCTTTCTCAGAACCAGATTTTTAAACATTTAAAATAAAATACATAGGGTTACAAAAGAAACTAATTATATTGAAACATAGTTATCAAAATAATTTTTTTTAAAAAGCTAGGTTAAGGACCTCTCCTCTATGGATAACTTATAGAAGGACTGAAACAAGAATAGCACAGCTGAAAAGAGATTGTAATCTTTAATAGAAGGTGTTGTAAAACCAATTAGATCACTGGTCCTATCTTAACATCAAAGGATCTTGGAGACCACCCTAGAAAGGACCTTAGACACCATCTAGTTCAACCTTTAGCTTAAGCACCGACTATGTCTGTCATTTTTTAAGATGATGATTCTTCATATTTTTGTGGGTTAGTCTCTATTTCTTTTGAGTTCTCAGTTTATAACTATACCTAACGGTTCTGTCATTCTTTTTATTTTTTCTGGGTCTTGTTATGATTTCATCTTGCTTCATTTATTTTATTTATTTGGTTTTCTACATTTTTCTTTTTAATAGGTTGGCTAAAGGTTTGTCAATTTTGTTGGTCTTGAAAGAACCAGATGTTGTTAATTTTGTTAATTAGTTCTATAGTTGGGGTTTTTTTAGTTTCTAGTTTATTTCTTCTCTAAATTTCAAGATTTCTTAATTTGCCCTTATTTTTTTTTAGTTGGTGGCTTTCTAGTTTTTTAATGCACAATTTACTAAACCTCTTTTTCTATTTTTGTTAACATTTAATTTTAGGGATATTATTTATCCTCTGAGGACTGTTTTAGCTGCATCTCAGCAGATGAGGAAATGAAGGTACTCAACAGGGACTTCAGCAGATTGACAGCAAAGAAACACCTACCAGTAAAGTATAGGGGTGAAATGAGGCTTACATTTTCAGACACGACCAAAGTGTTATTTCCTTTACTTGTCTGTACTTATTTCTTATGATAGATAGTCCTATTGAGAAAAGGGAGAGACATTAAGAAACAACATAGACAGTTAAAAAACGAAAAGGCATCAACATAAGCTTTTCCCCACTTAATAGTATTTTTTTCCAATTACATGCAAAAATAGTTTTCAACATTCACTTTTATAAGATTTTGAGCTCCAAAGTTTTTTCTCCCTCCTTCCGTTCCCCTCTTCCCAAGTTGGCATGCAATCTGATATAGGCTCTAAATATACAATCATATTAAAAATATTTCCACATTAGTCATGTTGTGAAAGAAGAATATAACATATTTTTTAAAAGAAAAAAACTGAGTTGCTAAGGGGATATAACTTGCCCAAGAGTCATGTCATTATTAAGTGGCAACTAGTAGTAAAAGTTTACATCTCTATCATGCTAAGGCTATAAAGCCAGTTTAGGAGCAGCTAGGTGGCAGTGGATAGAATGCCAGACCTGGAATCAGGAAGACCTGAGTTCAAATCTGGCCTCAGACACTTACTAGCTGGAACCCTAGGCAAGTCACTTAACCCCATTGCTTAACCCCCTCCCCCCAAAGAAAAAGATGAACTGGAGAAGGAAATACTAAACTGCTCCAGTATTTTTGCCAAGAAAACCCCAAATGGGGTCTCAGAGAGTCAGATATAGTTGAAACAACTCAATAACAACAACACCTCGTTCAATCCTGGGAAATAGTTAGCACAAGTATTGTCATCCCTAATTTACAGATGTGAGAAGCAAAATCTCAGAAAGGTTAGGTAAGAAGCCAGCACTCAAACCTAGGTCCAGTGTTCTTTTTACTAGTGACATCATTCTGGTTGCTTTTCTCTAAGACTTGCTTCATCTTTTTTTTTCTTCCTCTCTTTTTCTATTCTTCTTTCTGTTCCTTCCTTCCTTCCTTCCTTCCTTCCTTCCTTCCTTCCTTCCTTCTCTCTCTCTCTCTCTCTCTCTCTCTCTCTCTCTCTCTCTCTCTCTCTCTCTCTCTTTCTTTCTTTCTTTCTTTCCTTCTTTCTTTCTTTTTCTTTTTTGAGATTGGGTCTCCCTATCTCACTCAAACTGGCAGTGAATAGCCAGCCTGATCCCTCAATAGACCAATAAAGAAGCTTTAACCTG